GCCTCTCTTAAAGCGACCTTAGTGTGACAACGGGTGGCTGTGGTGCTGATCGCGAAGCTGGCACGAAGCTGGCTCAGGCTGGAGTCACTGCGGCAGCACAGCTACAGCAGATCGCATGGAAGCAACATCGCGCCGATAACATTCAGGCACAGCGCTGATTATCAGCACTGCATGAGAGGGCAGTCCTGCATAGGATCTTCCATGGTCGTGTTTGCCTACTTGGGCTTCAACACTGCACCGCGCACATGGAAAACAGTGATATGGCTTGGAAACGGTATTGTGATACCCCGGTGAATTCGGTTGACTGTCTCTGGCTTGCAGCTTGGATTCGCTCAGTGGCGCAGGGATCGGCCGGAGGGCGAGTCGGTCGGGGGCGAATTGGGGGCCCACCCATTGATCACCCTCAGCGCGCACACACACACACACTGACTCTTCAAAATGCAGATTGAGGAGGTGCTGGACAAAGTGGCGAAGCAGAGGGCCGCAGAAGACTGGAGAACTGCCACCAGATTCCTCTTGACGCAAAGAGCCAAACTGATGCACAGCTGCCGTTCGGGTTTCGTAAGGGGGGCTATGAGGCGATATAGAAACTGATGAGTCGTGCCGGATGTATCAATGACGCATGAGAGCTTCATTGCCGGACTTTCGCAGTCGTCGCGGATCAAAGCAGTGCGAGAACCTTGCTGGGTGCTGCTGCGACGAATGGAGGCTGACTTCCGGTGATGGGACACATATGTCTCTTAGCCCTCCCAGATGTGGCATCATATAAACACTCCAGGACTCAGAATCGAAGCACTGTCATCAGGCTGCTCAGTGTGAGGATGGAAGGGCAGAGCAGATCCATTACCTCAAGGAGGCGCCGATTTCAAGCATCCAGTGTCTCCGGCGAGTTTTTAGGGTTTGCGACTTGCTGAAAGTTGTGGGTATGGAAGGGACAGAGCAGTTGGTGACTTTAGTCGATGGTTGGGAGAATGCTAGACTATTGAGCAAGGCGACATGTCGACAAGGTTCAAGCTCTGAAAATCCGAAGCGGGTCTTTCTGAACTGGTTGCTTGATCACTGGGCATTTCAAAGCCAAAGCAAGCGAGCTTGCGGAGGCGCTGTACTCATGTTGCTCACGTGCAGAGTAAGAGATGCACTGTTGGTATTTTGTGGTGCTTTGAGGCATGAGACGCTTGGTTGCGTGTTGATTTGTGTGCGACATCTGGGACTTGCGAGGCGGGGCTCCAGGAGCCGATCTGTCCGGAGGTGGGGTCAGCCGCTCTATCTGACTCTGACTTGGAGATGCTTGAGGCGTTTGAGAGACAGAGCGCAATGCCGGCTCAAGTTCTCGCGAGTTCCTGTCCTGTTGCAGCCCACAGAGCATGTCTGGAGATACGCTCCGAAGGGAGTCGGCGGGTTCGTCGCAGAGCATTTTGGAAATGATGAACTGCTATGCGCAGTACCGGAATAGCAAGTGCCGNNCGGCACTTGCTATTCCGGTACTGCGCGTAGCAGTTATGGTCCTAACAAGTGCATCAAGTATAGCTTCATGGAGGAAGTCGACTCGAACAAGATTAAGTGGTATACGGCAACTGTGATTGTCAAAAGCATGGATGAGTCGACAACTGGGCAGCCACAGAGAAGCAAAGCGGCGGCCAGGAAGTCCGCCGCTGCCACATTTTTTCAACTCAATCGGCGACGCGAAAACATGGTTGCGACTGAAAGGCGGGAACGCCTGATGGGTCTTGGATGTGCATGCTCAGCTGCTGGGTCTCATGTTGGGAGCTCCGTGTCCAGTCCTTGCATGCAAAGAGCAGTACGCAGTAGTCGTTGTATCAGGGGGCAGCAAAAAAGATGGTGCGAATTCCTGCGCAGATTCAGACTCGGTGAGGAAAGCGTTGAGGCGTGCATTTGATGGTGATGCCCTGCATGCCAGGTTTGCAGCTGACATTCATCTAAATCTTCAAGGTGCCGTGTTGATGCCCCCAGGGCAGCATCAACGCCGCCCTTGCTAAATTTAAGCATGTTCACGTAGCGTGCCAATACGAATGCTTTGTCACATCCTGAGTCCTGGCGTTATTTAGCCACCGCCCTAATTCCCCCCTCCATTGTGCGGCAGTGTTTCTCTGCAGCTAAAGGGGTTTCTGTGGGGGTTCGTCGTGAAGGCGGGATGTCGTCCTGGTGCCAGCGCCCCTGCTTGCGACAGCGGGAGAGAAAGCACACTAAGTCACTAAGTGTCTTCAAGGCCACCCGCGAAGACGCTCGGGACGCCCAGGTCAGCGGGAGTTTCAGGCAGATTTATTCAAAGCCCTTCCAGTTTGCAAGGTGGCTTACCGCACCACCTTGATCCAAGGCTTGGCACTGATTGTTTGTGTCCAGAGCTGCCAATGTCAGAGCACAGCACGGGGTATGCTGTAGCCTTCGGTTGTGCCAGGACTCAGCTAGCTGAACTTGGCTTGCATCATGCAGGAACTCCACACACTCCATTGAGCACTCCCTTCCAACCCAACTCCTGACACCGACCGGCACAAGACGACGACCTCGACTTTGTAAGGTCAGTCGGTGTGTGGCATCACGAAGTTGTACGCTTACTTGACATCTCAATTTTAGCAGCCATGTAGCAGCTAAGGCCCTGTAACTGTTTTTGTGCCGTGTTACAGTGGCAGCATCTTATGTCTCAAGCAGTGTGCGTGTGCGTGTGAGGAGGGATGGCAGGTGCTGTGTCCCGGGGCATCCTGGGGCACGCACGGGTGAATCCTTTTGGGAAGGGGATTGACGGATTGACAGGTCTGGCGTGTGTGTGTGTGTGTACCATGTTGCTCTAAGAGCTTGCGCAGCATACACAACTCGCGAGACAGGACAGAAGTGGAGAGATCCTCTCGGCTCTGCCCCTCTCTTGATCACCCCTCTTTTCCATGTTTTGGGGGGCTTTTGGGGCAGAGGATTTCGGCATCCTCCTGGCAATATGCTGAAGAGCGAGTAGGCCGGAACGCTAGGTTTGGAGCTCCAATCGAGCGCAGCGCCGCGGCTTGTCCGTAGCATGCACTCCGAAAAACTATGTACAGGCCCATGCGATCGCAGATCTCCGACCACCCTTCAAATCCCAGCGCCAGCAGCGAAACCTGCGGCAATGTATATATTCTTGCATCCACCTTTTCATCCGGATCTACTTCTCTTTCGTAGTCGCTGAACATCGAAAGTTAGAAACTGAGTCGGCACTTGCGTGTTTGTGACATCTGCGTGACAGACGCTGGCGACGCGGACCTTGCTGGCTGAGAGCATGAACGGTAGCATGGCGTGTTCCGTGCGCCGTTGGGGTAAAGAGGTGGAAGCCACCTTGTGCTGAGGGGCTGCCCCACGATCTGTCGGCGAATGACATGTTACTGAGCTCCATGCTTGGGGAGCTCCGCCACGAGTGCTCTGGGCCGGCGAGGAGCGAATGGTAGCGACCTCGAAGGAAGAAACACCACAACAAAGGCCCTTGATGCAACAACAAAGCCCCGTGCTGGCTTCACAGGTGCAGCCGGCGGGAAGGAGTGCAGATAATTGTTGCCCGTGTGCACCAAACGGTGCGGAGCTTGGCATACTGCCATTGGTATCGGCACGTGGCTCACCTTGCAAGATGCTTACAACTGGCCATTCTGCCGGAGATTCTGCGCCCGATGGCTTGGAATCCGGCAATGCCTTGCCCCACCTGAAAATCGCGGTGTTCCCACAATGCAACTTGAAAGCGTCATACGCACTGCAAGTTGCCTTGCTGGTCTGTTGCACACCTGGCACGGGCAGCTGATATCAAATAGCATTAAACCGCATTTCAGATATGCGTGTGCTGTAATAATCTGTAATACAGCAGGTTCGAGTCACACCTTCTGGATTCGCACGTGTAGAAGCGCAGGACTCGAATCACCGCTGCTGGCTAATTCACCGCTTCTTCTGGACAGTCTGGATCTGGCTTTGAGGAATCTGAACATGTTGAATCGCAAGGCAATTCAAAACTCATGCAAAGTCATCCAAATTTACCAAGGGCGACGAAAGCTGGCTTAACGTTAGAAACATGGCAGGAAATGGGTGGGAGCATCACCGGCCCAGCTACCAGTCAAGCTTACATAGCCAACTAGCCGACTAGTACTCGTACTGATTGACATGAGGAGCTCTGCTGTGGAGCGCAGGAAAGCAGAAACAGAAAAAACACCATTGAGGGACAAAAGCCACAAATTACAAGCGTTGCAAGGATGGCATACATGCGGGAATGCATGCATATGAATATATATATATATACAAATCCAAAAATACAACAACTAAACAAGTCAACAAACCAAAAAATACATGTATACTTACGTGTGTGTAGACGTGAAGAGGTGGCAGAGACTGCACAAAGAAACCCGCTGGCTCTTTGGATGGATACTACTCACAGCATCAATCATGCTGTATCTCCGAACCCTGCAAGTTCTGCAGCATGTCCTTGTTATCCTGGCAGTACTCAGCGAAAGCTACCTACCTACCTACCTACCTACCTACCTACCTACCTACCTACCTACCTACCTACCTACCTACCTACCTACCTACCTACCTACCCCAAAAACTCTGACATGTGATTGACTGAACTCCCCAGCGAAGAGGGGCCAAGCACATGGTACTTGCTTTAACTCTTCTCAACCCGTTGCTTTTGAAGCGGACGAAAGAGGGTGGTGGTTTGGAGGGTCCGAAGGCGGACCGGAGCACCGCTCGCTGCCTTCATTCAGGTACGCTCCCGACTGACCTGGGCCCAGCTCTCAGATCACCTCATGGTTGTTGTTCTTGCACGAAGCACGTCCAGGCTGAACCCAGCTGTCTATTGTGAGGCCTCTACACCACTGGCAGGACCGTCGGCACAGACCCCGGTCGCCTCCGTCGCTTTCTGAGACTCTTCTTTCTGTTTGATTGGCAGGTCAAGGCGCCTTTGGGCGCGTGGCGCTGGGAAGGCTTTCTCGGAATACAATGTTAAACTGAGCATGTCTCTCAGCGCAAAAGCCAACGGCATGTCCTGCATCAGGCACTGCTTCACCGCGGAGCAGGTTGCCTTGAAGGTCCTCCAAAGCGACCTCATCAAGGAGGCGGCCCGCTCTACCCGCAGCTCATCTCTTGGAGCCGGTGTGGGCCACTGCCTAGTAGTTCTGAGTTCCTGAAGTCGCGCTTCGTCAAGTTGGATTCGCAAGACGTTAGCGCACCATTTAATTCGACCTATAATGCCAAGCAGGCGGAGGACAGAGCCCGGGTCGAGCGGGAGATCCAGCTCCTGAAGCTGCTCCGGCACGCTGCTTTGAAAGTTAAGACCACCATGGGCTGGCCAACAAGTGAGTCGCAGTAGTTACGTCAGTTCCAGAATGCCTTGGGCTTGTCGAACTTGCTCTTAGGCACCCACACGTGGTGCAGCTGTTCGAGGTCATCGAAACAGCGGGGGCGTTGGAGCCCCGCTCCTGCTGACGGTACGCAGAGGAGGAAGAAGCAGCTGTGAGGCTTTACTTAATCATGGAGTACGCCTCCGGCGGCGACCTCTTCCACTACATTGTTGAAAACCAACGGGTGCCCGTCCACGGCCTCAGACCTTCTAAGATCGACGCAAGTCTACGCCACTGTCTTAGAACGGCGCGTGAGGAACCCCAAGCCTGCCGCTTCTTTCACCACATCATGGCGGGCGCACGCCACTCAGCCCTAGCAGCAGCAACAGCATGATAGTTGCCGTGGCTCCTGAGCGTCCCGCCAGGTCGAGCACCTTCACGCGATGAACATCGCTCATCGCGCTTGGGGCCCGGTTGAACCGCCGGCATCCACACATGTTCTCCACTGGCAGGGTACCATGAAGTATCCACATCTCTGGTCTGAACATGAGGACCTCAAGCCGGAGAATCTGCTCCTAGATGAGCATAGCTCTTGGCTAGCAGGAACATCGTTGTATACTCGGGTGAGCCCACACGTTTGAGGCAAAACTGCGTCAAAATCGCCGACTTTGGGCTCAGCAAAGTGCGCAGCCTCAGTGTTCACGACGGTCGGATCATGTTCATGGTCGTCATCATCATCATCATCATCAGACCATCCGGCTTTTGTGTCCTTCGATGGGAATGACACTTTTGCAGCATCCACAAGCGCGGCAGTAAAAAAAAAAACTTACGTGAAGATGCCACATGATTCTATCTGCGGGTTTGCCCGTTGCGCAGCGCTTCGACGACAACCAGCTGCTGAGCACTGCCTGCGGATCGCCTTGTCTCGGGCCGAGCAGTTTTAGCGGACCCAGTGTCTAGTCTCAGAACCAGCCAAACCTTTGCTTCCGTGGAGTTGTGGTCTTGAATCAGCGCAACGTGTGGGCTGTGGGATTGCCGACGACGGTTGACACATGTCGAATGTCCATGGTGACGCAAGGCTACGCTCCCCCAGAGATGGTTTCGAGACAGAGCTCCACACCGAGGGTGCAATTTGGTGCGTTGGAGTATGTGGGAGGTGTTGCATGTGCCCATTCCAAGAGTTCCCTGGGAAGACTCTGAGGCTACGTCCCGCAAATGTGCGACCTGTGGAACTGTGGTGTCATCCTCTTTGCCGCGGCCTCGATGACGGGCTGCTCCACAGTACCAGATGTGCACGGGGAAGCTGTTTGGGTCACCGTGCCATCGGCTAAATCCTGAGGCAATGGTATGCGGAGTTTTGCCCTTCGAGGACTGGGAACTCTCAACGAAGGTTTGTTGTTTCTATACCTCGCTCCGACCGCGAGGACTCCAACCTCCAGGTGCTTTACGAGAAGATCTTGGCAGCCAGCTACACATCTCCCTCCTGCATCACCGACTCCGTGAAGGATTTGGCTGATGCCTGTGGTTTGTGTAAGTTGAGGCGTGTCAGCTTGAATCATCGGGCTGGATCAGCAGTGGGATGGGCGCCAGTGCAGGAGCTGATCCAGTGCAGGAGCTGATCGCGGGGCTCTTGACGGTGACGCCGGCACATCGCTTCACCATCACACATGCCCTGCCCCTAAACTTTCGAACCGGCCGCATACGGCGGGCGAAAACGCAACCAAGCGCCTGCAAGCAATTGGACTGGAGTAAGAGCCGTCAGGCAGTGACTCGGTACCCCCTAAACCTTAAACCAAGTCTGCGTTTGTTTTCACTCCAAGGTGAGGGCGCATGAGTGGTACCGCCAAATCCCGGAGGACGGAGTGATATGGCATTGTCTAAGCCGCACCTCTTCGGTCAAGCTTCACTTTAGTCTTGTCGTTTCTCCAACTGCTGTCGCTCACCCGCCTCCTTCCTTTCGCGCATCATGTTGCAGCATGCATTGCAAGAGGCATCCGTTCGTCCACACCAGAGGAGCTGTGGACTTAATGGTAGACTGCTGGAGGAAGATGTTTCTAATATGTTTGTTCTGGCTAGTCCCATAAGCTTGGTTGCACCTCGTTGTTTCTCTTGAGGTTTGCAAGACACTGTTCTGCACGAGCTGAATTGCCACGGTGCGGAGCTCGCTTCGCAAAAGCGGATGAATTGCCCCCCTGCCGACCCTCACCCGGGTGGCAGGCATCCCACTGGAGTATGCCACAAACTGCCTCCTGAACAACAAGCACAATAGTGTCACAACCACGCCCGGCGCTTGATTATTCCTTTAGCAGCGCGTCTGCGTGTTGCTTGCGCGCTGTAGCAGAGGTTTTGCAGATGCATTTTCAGAGGGTTTTGCCACAGTCAAGTATTCATGCTTTTGTGGCCCCCCAACGACGGAGAGTGTTCTCCATCTTTATGGTCCTATAGAGTGGCAACGGCTTGTTTTGGGGCTGCCCAACTGGATTTTTCCGACCTTGGAAGCAATGAAAAATCTAAGCATTGGCAGCTGCGACTTAGCAGTGGACAAGGGTTCCTTTCGGCGGTAGCGCAGTAGGAAAGCCACATAGAGATGAAGCACGGATATGAGCTTTGAGGCTGTTTGGGATTCCGCGATCTCACTGAGATCGCCTTGACTTTTAAACCGCTAATGCGAACATGTCAGGCCATTCATTCTCCAAGAGGGGGCAGTCCTGAATGCTGCGGCTGCTGCTGCTACTCCGGCTGCTGCTGCTAGCCACTATCACTAGTACTGAACACGATCTACTACGTACGATTATCTACTATTGCATTGTCCCGGCAATTTAGAACCGCTGTTTGTTTTACAAATCTTGCTAGGGCATTGCTAAGCCGCGGGGGGCTGGTAATCTTGCAATCTTGCTTTTTCAGACCACTTGGCCTGAGGTATCATCTGCTCGCGGCCAAACGACGCAGGCATACTCTGCTGCTTCAGCTGTGACAACGTGCGACCATTTGCCACAGATGGTCCGAGATCTGTTTTTGCTGAGTTGCACCGTCATTCAAATACGAATGAATTTACGCCGAAGTGCTTCGCCTCGGTTTTGATGATCGTGTTCGATGACACACTTAAGCTTGGAAACTGCAACGTCCTCGCTGTGAAAAGTGGTTTGGCAGTCGTTTGCGAGACCATGCCACTGGCAGGACAGAAGACTTGCAAGAACGCAATGGCCTCAGACTAAGCAGCTCAGAGGCGCCAGCCAGGCATCCAAGGGATCCACTTCAGTTGCTCTTCAGGTGGCGTAGGGGAGCATGACGGGCCCTCAGAGCTCTGCAGCTTCTCAGATCACGACAGCTAGCTCTGTTGGGCTTGCGGGAGCTATCGTTTAACACTTCACCTAAGTAGTATCGCCCCAAGTCAAATGGTCCTTCCACAATCCTTAAGGGGGCGGGCGTGATTGAATAGCATTGCGAGGGAAGTGCTGAGTCTGCGACTGTTGTCTTAGTTTCTTGGCACCGCCCGCCCGCCCACAGGCCCTGGGTTCGCCGACTTTCGGTTCCCTGAGCTCCCTTTTCGTGTCTCCCCTCGCGCCAAGCCCTTCAAATCTCCATCAAAACGCGAAACGCGCGTTGGATCTTTGCTAACGGCAGGCAAAACAACCGAGGCTCGGCTGTGTGATTCATCGCGGCCGCCTAATGAGGGGCCGCGCTCAAGAAATGTGATGAACTGGAATCACGAAAGGACGGGGCAGGTTTAAGAAATGTGATCAATGCGATCGCCAAATGAGAGGGCACATTTCAGAAATGTGAGGCGGGTTGAAAGTATGTGATAAACCCAAACCCGCACATGTAAGAATCGGAGTCGCTTGATGAGCGGGCGGGCTTCAGAACTGTCATCATCCGTGATCGCCAAATGAGCGTGCACATTTAAGGAAGATGAAGAACAGGGATCGTCAGCAGAATCGCCGAACGAGGGCGCGTCATGAACCAGCATCGAGGAGCCGGGATTGCTGTGATCAACCGGGATCGCCAGCAGGTGGGCGGGCTTGCGAAGAATTGGAATCGCCAAATCATGGGGCAGGTTGAAGATTCGCGATCAACAGTGGTCGCCAAGTGAGGCGGAATGTCTTCTAAATAAACGTGATGAAGTGGGATCGCCACAAGAGGCGGGAGTTTAAGACATGGGATCAAAGAGCTTCGCCAAATCCTTCACCCGCGCCGCAGAAGCGGCCGAGTGCGTATGCGTAGCAGATTTCAAGTTGAAAGCTTCAGTAATTGGCTAAGCTGCCTCCGGCACAGTTCGAAGCTGATCGTAGCTTGCCGAGTTATAGCTTATGCCGCTTATGCCAGGCATTTAGGAGCACAGTGTTGTCGGTCAAGGTACTGCTACAAGGGTCTATCGATATGTGGGCCAGCGTAAAGCAGGAGAATGCTAGCGAATCCGAAGCTTCATGGCAATGCATATCTGTTTGCCTCCACCCTGCCGAGCAAGCTTTGGTGGCCTTTTCTCAAGTTAGAAAGTTGGTGCTGAAGAAGAACTGGTTCAAATTCGGCATAAAGTTCATTTGAGTGGACCTACTTCCTCGTGGACCTGATGAAAAATTTGCATGTAGGGTAGTGTTGATGTGAAAATCTACAGTATGTTCATGTCTTAGGAATAACTCGCCCAATTCGAGAAACAGCAAAAGTGCAGCGTGTGCCACTCTTTGAGTAGACTCAATAGATACGGTATGACTGACATGGCATACTCATATAATCTCATACGACTCATAGCATGCGGAAGCAATGCATCCTGTGACATGTTTGCGCAGTATGTGACACGCCGGCATTATACCTCCAAAAGTGAATTCCCAGAGGGTGCATGACAGCAGAAGCTGTGTCCTGCAACGAAGTTGTAAGGTGACTTCAGCCTCGTCCACGCGGAGTGGCGTCCGATGCCAAGTGGCTGTGCAGTTGCCTTCGGCACCTACAGTGTAGCTGTGGTCGAGTGATCAAGTCATTACTAGCACTTGCTTTATAGGCTTAGATATGCCAATAGTATTCCTCAATTAATTACTTCCGTGTATACACTGATGCAAATTTGCATTGTAAGCTTGCCTGCATATCTTGTTTATGTTAGTTGACACTACCTTCATGTCTTAGGCAGAACCCCACCGAATTCGAGAAACAGCAACAATGCAGCGTGTGCCACTCTTTGAGTAGACTCAATAGATACGGTATGACTGACATGGCATACTCATATAATCTCATACGACTCATAGCATGCGGAAGCAATGCATCCTGTGACATGTTTGCGCAGTATGTGACACGCCGGCATTATACCTCCAAAAGTAAATTCCCAGATGGTGCATGAAGGCATCGCGGACGGATGACACGTCTGCGTCCGGCGTCCGATGCTAAGTGGCTGTTTGCAATTCCCATGGCTGACAGTGTAAATGTGTTGAGGTGATCAAGTGATTGCTAGCATTTGCCTCGAAGGCTTAACGTTAGCAGGTGCGAGGCAGAACTGCAAGCCAGTGTGAATCATATTGTCCATCTTGGTGCTCAGCCAGTTGACATGATGCGCATCAGCTGCGTGGCTCTTGCATGGTGATATATATCGAGCATCGGCTGTTTGGCTTTTGCGGCTCACCTGTGGCATAGCGCACTAGCAGCAAACAGCCTGTCGTTTTGCGACTGTCCGCCAATTCTCCCGGTCTGCCGTCGAGCATCATGAGCCTCAGCTGTTTTACGTTGTTGCAACAGGTGCCACCAGCCCCATTTTGCATGGCATCTTGCAAGCGCTCGCACTCCGAAGAACATCCTGAGCATCCCCTGTCTGGCTTTATTCTGCGACGGTTCGCTTATGCAAGGAGCATGCAGCATGTCAATGTGCAGGTTGGTTGTTTTGGCAATCAGTCAACCTCTCTTTGAACATAAGCCTCGGCTGCCTGGCTTTGCGTGCATGGCTGCTAGAGCATTATTAGTTCTTCTTGCCTCTCGATTTGGTTTGGTTTTGTGTCGACGGTTCGCCCTCTCGGCGTGCCTCGCGGTGGCGCCTCTGCTTGCAACAGTGGGAGAGAACGGACACTAAGTCATAAGCGGTGTTTGGGATCTCATCAAGGCCACTTCCGAAGACGCTGCTCGGGACTCCCAGTGACAGCATCGCCGGGAGTTTCAGGCGAATCTATTCTAGCGCCTTACAGTTTGCCATTTTTGCTAAGGGCGCTTGCAAACCCCACGTGGTGGGAGCCGGGCCCTCATGGCTGTGGCAAAGCCGTTGATCGCAGAGACTTCTGCGCAAGATATGTGCGTCGTCACTTGCAAACGTAAAGGTGCCGAAAGCTCCAACCCCCTCTATTCCAAGCTACTCCCGCGAAGTGCGGGTCATAGAGAAGATGTTCCTGGTGCCATCCGCCTGTGAGGTGGCAGCAGACATTCGAATGGACATCCAGGCTTAATTTGAGTTTGCATCAAGGGGCAGCCATGCCCGCTCAATTCCTGACCCCGGCTAGGCCCGCTACGTGGTGAGGCAACGACGGGAAGCGGGGAGAGGGCAAGGGTTGGGGAACATGCTTGGAGGCTTGTCTGTATCATTAGATCATATAGTATAAGGTAAACCTTTAGTCGGGCGTCTCTTTGTATTGCCGGAAAGTTGCAGGAAATT